CTGCCGCTGCTGCTGCTGCTGCTGCCACATCGCTGGCAACTTCAGTTTTTCCGCTTTGATTTTGCGTTAATCTTGGCTTGCACCTGTTGGTGGCACTGGTGGTGCCCGTTTTGTGGTGCCCGCTGCTGCTGGCTGGCGGTTCCTTCTGGTTCCCGTCGATGCCGTTGTTCAATTTTGCGTGCCGTTGCCGCCTCTGTTATTTTAACAATCTGCCATTTAAGCGTAAAAAATGTTGCCTCGTTTCGTGCCGCAGCGTTTTGGGCTATTTGATTTGGCAATCATGGCTAGCGATGGCGCTTTGCCCACTTGGCTCTGTAGCACTGCGCTGCGTTCTGCGTTGATTTAGTCTCAGTTTGATTCGGTTCGCGGTTTGCTTTGGTTTTTGGGCAGTGGGGTCTGGGGCTGGTGAAGCTGGTCGATTGCACGTCTGGGCGGCGGCATTGCGTATGTCTTTTGGCCGCCTTTTTGGGCGAACATTTGAGTTTGGGCAAGTTTGTGTGCAATGCGGCGCTAAATCGAATAGAATTAACTATGTGGATTAGCCAAGAGCTTGTGCGTGTTGGTGGTGTGATGGATCTTAAATGTTATTTCATAGCAATTCATAATGCAATAAAAATGTATGTGCTTATTGTACAGGGCTAATCTAACAGTCTGTAGATCTTTTCTCAAATATACTTGCCTTATTAAGTAATTCGGTACGAATACTAAATGTCCTAAAATATACAGCAGAACCATTTTACATCCAATTAACAGGGCAATAGTAACAGCAACAGTGCAACTTACACTAACATATGTTATGTCTATGTTATTTACAGGGTATCATAAGCGATCACAATATGCTAATATTGTAAATGCCCAACCTGGGCGTTATGGTCCATTACTCTAGCCATTACTCTTAATGCCAATTCCAGCCTAATGTCCAATGTCCAGCGGCAAGGTTGGGTAGGGGGGCAGCCCACAGCGATCCTCGGCCCAGGCGTCGAGTATCGACTGCCATTGATCATTCGCATCCCCATACTGGCATTCGGATCTTTGTAGTCCATTTGATAACTGCCTTGGCGCTTTTCCCCATTTTATCGGGCGATCGTTAGTCGATATACAATTTAAAAGGCAGCAAGGAAATCAGCTCAAACTTCAAACAATCAGCTACCAGATTACAGCACAACCAGCATTAGTAGCAGCAGCAGCAGCAGCAGCAGCAGCAACAACTGCAAACTGTGGCAATTGCGTAAATGATGTTCTAATACAACATCAATTACAATGGCAAGCGGCCCATAGCCAAACGGTAAGGATGTTACAGCCTCCAATATGCGTTCGCACAGTGGTTAAGATATTTCTAAACATTTTATAAATATTAACTAAGTTGATCGGAGCATTATTCGCTTTGGCAATCATAAGCATAACATGAGTTCCATTTTGCGTGACATAACATACACATAAATAAGAATTTAACACTATTATATTATATCATTAACATAACATAATTTATGGTTAACATGAGAATCATTGAAAGATAGTGTACATGTTAAAGTAGCATGACGATATAGAATAACATAACATAAAATAACAAACCATAACATAACATAATTGTCGTAACTTGAAAATTTTAACATAACATAGCATGTCGTAACATTACATAACATAACATTGCATAAAATATCCTTGCATAACAATAACATACAAATACCATTATAAATGTTAATAATAATATTATTAGCCACAACCTCTTTTAATTGACATCAAATGTACGACAATCTTGGCTAATCAGCCACCATCGCGTTGGGGCAGTTGAAAAATGTTTCATACCTATCCTTGGGGCCATTTACACTTTTCCTTTTACTCCACTCGCAGAGCACTGTGCGTGTGCGTTTGGGCAACGACTTGCGGCTCTGAGTGGGGCTTACGGCATTCACGCCTTGTTGCTGGCTGGTTGTGTAGCTGTTATCGTTGTCGCTCGGGCAACTGGCAACGGGCAACGAGCAAATCTGGCAACTGGCAACTCCGGCAACTGGCAGAACATGTCCCCGGCTCTCTGGGTCTTTCGTCGCGAGTTTCTTGTCTGCGCCAGGCAAACAATTTCATGCATGTTGCTGCCGTTGCAACAGCAACAACAGCTAACAACCGTTTTACGCATGCGTGTGCCACAGACTTTGACTCAGGCCTCGCAGCTTCTCAGCCTCAGCCTGTTGCACCTGTTGCCAAAGTGTGTGCCGCACCGCCCCAACTCCCCTCGCCGAACCGTCAAAACCTCAGACCGCCAGCGGCTGCGGCTGCATTGCTTCAGTTTATGCTTTAATTGTGGAAATTATGTGACATTTGTTGCTGTTGCCCGCGTCTGTCATAACTAGTAAAGTCGTAATTAAACTGCCTTCTATTTACCGCAACCCTTCCCCCGCACACGCTCTTGTTGTTGCCGCCCATGTTGGCAAGCATCGGAGACAGTTTTGTGGGCTTTACGCTGGCTGTAAACATTTGACGGTTGTTTATTGCCAACAATTGATGCATGGTTGCCTGTGGATGACGAATACCGAGCCAGAAGAACAAATAGAAGTTGCAACAGCAACAGAAACAGAAACAATAACAAAAACAGAGCGAACAAACCAGAAAATATTTAAAATAAGCCACGTTTGTTAATTGCACCTTTTGTTGGGATATGTGGGAAAGGAATAGGTCCCAACCCATGGTGAGGAGTTGCTTAATAGATAATAAAAATATGTTCTAATTTCATAGAGTAGCTCCTACTCCCAACACTAAGAACATTTGGAAATTTCATACAGTAAAAATTCTCCTAACGGACACCACTTTACCTTCCACATATCTGGAACAGAAATGCTCTTAAATTTATCGGGCTATACGCATTCTGCCTCTGTTAGGCGGACACCACAGTCGCAGTGGCTTTCCAGTTCTTAACAGTTTTTAACTGTACCACATTTCAGTTGAATTATTTATCACATGTGTTCTTTTCTTTACCTAGCATAGAGCCAGAAAATAATGAAATTTAATTTTAGCCCGAAGTAAATAATTTTGTGGTTATTTAATCATCTTGAGATCCTTGAGATACTTAAATCTAATCCAAATTAAATTACTTTGATCTGTTGTTAAATGTGATTAAAGTGCGCTCGTCAAATTCAAGAGCTCAGCTTTGAAATAATACCGAACTAGTCTAACTGCACTTTGATTGATTTATTGCTTCTTGCTGTTAAATCTGTTGTTGCTGTTGTTCTTCATGTTACTGTTGTTGCCTGCTCATTAACAGACAAGTTTTGTGGCTGCGCTTGAGTCTTGAACCCGGTTGAACTTGGGCCGCCAACCGCAAACGAATCGCAGCAACAACAACAGCAGCAGCAGCAACAACAATAAAACACCCACAGCCATCATAAAGCATTATACGACCATCTTACTTCCAGTTTCTAGCTCACTCTCTCACACACACTACCGTTTTCTCCCTCTCCCTCTCTCTCTCTCTCTCTCTTTCTCTGTCGCACTCTCTGTAATGTTACATTATGGAGTGTTGAGTGCATTACGCGCGAGCTGAACTTTATGGGGTGTTTGTAATTGGAATCGTTGCCTAACTATAACGGTAAGCATTGAGGTGGAGGTCCAGCAAGATCTAATTCAAAGTGCAGGTCAGCCACATTTAGTGGAGCATGCTGTTAAAATCAAAATACCGGCACGTAATCCTATAACAAGCAACAGCCCCCAAACACAATTAAGATCTACATTTTTATGGTGTTCAAACTATAAAATTTATATTATTAAATTGCTGTTATAACAGCTACAATAACATTTGCTGGCTGTCAAAATACAAAAGTGAAAAAACAAAGCTTTATTATAATTTACTTATAAATAAGCGCATAAAAGAAAAGCGAAAATCAATGCAGCGGCAACAACAACAACAACAATAAGTAGATTGCACCAGTAATAGTTATGGTTATCGTTATCGGAAGCCAGCTCAAAAGAAAACAAGAGCAACAAGAAGGGAAGCGAAACAAAAGCTTACAGCGAAATGTTATATACACTATAAGCAAGATTTTTAATTGAATTGACATTTGTAAAAAATAAAAAAAAAATTGATTAAACAAAAATTATTGAAAGCTTTTTAACAATGGGCTCTTCACATTAATCTGCGCTTAGTAAGCTTTATTAATTCCATGGATGCTGACCGTGTCGGACACCTTTACAAACAGCTTAACATAGGCATGATACCCTCCCTCAGCCAGTTGGTTGCTCTTATTGCCAATTGCAATTTCTCCATTGTCTCGGTCACTTTTTCTTTTTCGCTGGCGAAAAATGAAACCGCTGCCGCTGCCAACGTAGCCGTCAACGTCAACGTCGCAGCACCCGGAAATCAATCAAAGTAAGGGCATTCCACTTCAACATCGATTGCTTGACGGCATCAAACTGCAATGGCCGACTGCAGTTGTTGTTGCTGTTATTGTAAAAGGCCGCAAGCGCAGTGGCCACTTAGAGCACAAAACAAAAAATTCAACGGCAAAACGGGAGATGAAATGGCAGCGACAGCAACATCAGCAGCAACAATAAGAAAAACAATAAACTCGAGCGCCACAGCGTAGGCAGTCACCAAATTTGGTCACTCTCTCAGTCATTCTCTCTGGTACTCGCAATGCAGCTGTGCAGCAGGTGCCGAAAGCTTTTCGAAGCTGCTGCGCGAGCTTTCAGCTGTTTGTTTGTTGGCGGCAGTCTTATGCCGGTCGTTGTTGTTGTAGCGTCGGTTTTCATTGATAAAAATTTTATGGCGCGAATAAACTGCGAGAGACTGGTTGTGTATGAGAGCGCCAGAGCTTGAGGTGAACGCACAGTAGTGGCTGCAAAAGTTGGCACGGTGTAGCATTTTTAATTTGTGAATGTTGACTGTGTTGTGCAAATTATTTTGTGTAGGCTATTTAGTTCCTATTGCACTTAATTAACTTTCTAAATGACATTTACTAAACGCTGTTGCGGAATAGCTTTACATATTTAATTCCCTTTTTACTGTAGGTTAAACAACTGTAAAATATCAACGACAACACAATTGCGCTCAAAAGTCAAGGCTTGAGTTTTGCGATGTTAACGGTTCCCTCGCCCAGTTCCGTTGCATGCGTGCCGTTCAATGCTCAGAAATTTCGCGAATACCTCTGCAGTCAACAGCTGTTTTCAGCGCGTGCTCTCACTTACTCTCTATCTCTCTCTCTCTCTCTGGAGTAACACTCTCTCACTACGAACGAACGCAGCAGGTGCAGCAGCAGCAACAACTACAACAACAACGAATCGTAACAAGTGCCGAGTGCGCAGCTTTCGTTGCTGCTGGCCATCGACGACAGTTTGCGCCGTTGCCGCTGAACAGTTAGTGAACGACTCTCGTACGAGACAGACGTGAGCGGCAGCTTAGAGCTTGTTATAAAAACAAATTTAATTTCGAACTTTGGCGCGACTTTCGCAGACAACAAACGTAGTGAAAAAAGCGACAAAAACCAAAAAACAAAAAAATCAATTAAATTGTAAAGTGCATGGCAAAGTAAAAGCAACTGCAACGGCAACTGCAACTGCAACAAGTGCAAAATTGTGCATAGTTTTTTTTAACAAAGTGTTGCCAAGTGTAACACACATAATAACACACACATACACAAACGCAAATACACACAGCTCGAAGTGGACATGTCGGCGTCTACTAAACTGGAGCAGCACTCCAAGCCCATACTGAGTCCAACACGATCCCTTGACGAAGGTTTCGAAAGTGATCCGGATCGGGTTTCAACCGATTCAGAGCATCAAATAAATAACAACAACGTCAACTGCAATAACAATGCCAGCAAGCTGGCGCAGCTTAGCTCGGCGGCAACGGGCGGTGCCAGCAGCAACAACAGCAACAACAGCAGCAACTGTAACAGCAACAGCAGCAACAACAGCAATAACAACAATAGCAACAACTTGACAGAGAAGCGCGGCGCACTCAGTCTGGCCGCGCCGCAGCTGCAGCGACGCGATTATTACAAGGATCAACTGCAGCAGCAACAACACCAGCAACAACAACAACAGCAGCAGCAACAACTCAAGCACCAACACCAACACCAGCAACAGCAACAGCAGCAGCAGCAGCAGCAGCAACAGCAACAGCAGCAGCAGCGCCTGCAATATCAAAAACAACGCCAGCCGCTGGTCGCCAGCGCCGCCGCCGCCAGCATTCACAATCATCGCTTGACCAATGGCCTCAGTGTTGGCGCCGGCGCCGCAGCCGCTGCTGCAGCTGGCTATAGGCGCGGACGTCGCCTGCACGTAGCGCCGCCAGCGCGCCACGCGCTGCGCTCGCATTCGGTGGACGCTATTGGCAGACAGCGACATGGCTATGATCCGAGCAGCCTCATCCTCAAGCACGACGGCAACGGCAACGTTAGCAGCAGCAGCAGCGTCAGTGTCGGCGGCGGCAGCGCCAACAGTCGCATGCTCAACTACAAGAGCAGCGCGCCTGGCACAGGCTCGGCGGCGGCAGCGGCTGCGGCGGCAGCAGCGGCTGGACAGGCAGCGCTGCTCGTGCAGCCCATCTCGAGTGCCACGCTGTCGCCGCTGGCGGGCGTTGGGGTGGACGGTGTGGGCGTCGAAGGCGGCGGTGGCGCATCGCCCGTAATTGCCTCCGCCACGCACAGCCTGTACACGTTCTACCCGGCCGAGGGAAATCTGCAGGTGTGGCAAACCGAGTGCGGGGATCTGACCTATAAATCGTCAAGGAATATGCATCAGCTGCACAAGGCGCCCGTGTGCTGGACACAGTCCATACCCAGGCAGGCAAGACGGTGAGTCCTTGATAAGCCTTTCAAATATTATTACATATATTTAGGATAAGAATTTTCTAGAAATAGCATGAGTTTTTGCATAACAGAAGGATGTTTTGAAGAAGAAGAAAAATCCTCGAAGTTTCTGTTTGATTTGGGCCAAGCTCTTAGTGCTAGAAGACTCTATATAAAAATCAATAGACGTTTCTCAACGTCCCTTCTCGATATATCTATAAAATACATTGTGTTAACATTAATGATATATTTGCAGCTAACTTAGCATAAGCTTTTATGCAAACATATTAAAAAATAATAATAATCTAAAGTGGGAAAAAGTGCTTGCATCCAAGAGAGAAGTAAATACTCAGATGAAAAAACGTATTATAATAATTTGGAACAAAACTGAAAAAAAGGTGGTTAGATCAAGAAATGAATTTTTGATATTATTAATATTATTGGGATATGATAAAGTTGTAAACTAATATCGCCTTTAATAATGAAGATTAATAGTTATTAAAAAAAAAAGTTAAATACAAAGAAGAAAGTACTTAGATCAAGAAATTTATTATTGATAAAGAGAGAAGCCAATTTCTTATTTTTAGTGGAATTATTATTGATAATATTGGGATATGACAAACTTGTCATACTTTTAATAACGAAGGCTTAAAAGACTTTACCCTCTCTTGCTTGTTAAAATAGAATAAATACATCAAATATAGAGGATGCTTTGCTCTTTTTCTAACCACATTTTATAATGATTCAAGATTCTCATTACTTGTTCAATTATCTAAATTCGTCTCTAAACACTTTTAGTGTAGTTCCCATAAAGATTTTTAATGATATTTTCAGTATATCTTGCTAATAAATCTGAATAAAGTTTCCAAATCAAAGTTTTTGAAAATGTTATTTATGCTTTCCAAACATAATAATAAATAATATTATTATTCGATATACTCCTAATTATATCTACAGGTTTTTGCTCTCTAATCGAAGAAAATTTCTAGTTAAATTTAGCAAATTGTTGTGCTCCGGTTTTTTTTTTGTCGAGCTATTTCAAAGTGTACGCTAATGGGTTAATTGGTTCGTTTTTATTTTTGGCCAAAAAGAGTCAATAGCCATTTCATCTCTGTGCGGCAAAGTGAAAGTCTTCAAAAGCCGAGGCAGCAGCGGCAGCAGCAATAACAACAACAACAACAAAGTGGCTGCGGCCAAGTTGAGCGCTGGCTTTGACCAAGCGCATGTGTCATTTAACTTGGCCGCGGGGGCTGCAATTAAAATGCCTTCAAAACTGTAACAGCCAAAAAAACATTAATTGCTTTACAACGGTCATTGCGTCCTTTAACAGAGGCTTGGCTAACTGTTAAGTTTGCTTTGCATAACATGGCGCTGTTAGGTGTGACCCCAAATAAAATGAACTTATAGCTTTACAACTGTTCTGTTAACTTTGAATTACATGGCGCAGTTAAGTGTGACCCCAAATGAAATGAACATATTGAAGTAATTGGTTTACAGCGTCTTTTAACAGCTTCTTGGCACAGTTAAGTTTGCTTTGCATAACATTTTGCTGTTATGTCTGAACCCATTTTAAATGAACACAGCCCTGCAATTCATTAACAGCATCCTATGCTGTTCGCTGTTAAGTTAACTTTGCATAACATGGCGCTGTTAAGTGTGACCCCAAATTAAACGCAATATTGCAATTTTTCGCTGTGCACATAAAGTTTGGCAATTTCTGCGCACTTCTTATTACCTATTCCAACTGCCTTTTGACTTCGCTTCGGTTTCGTTTTTTTCCCTACTTTTTTTCTGCTACATTTCGCAGCTGCTGAAATGTGTTTAAAATTTGAAATTTGCCTCGCATTTGGCTAATTTTTATGACTCTGCGCATTTCGTTAGCAACATTTTTGGCGTGTGATGCAAAAGCACGTGGGCGTGGTCACAGGCTGAAGGGCAATACGCTAATAAATTAAAAGAAACCGAGAAAATGTGTAAAAGAGTGACAATAGAAGATAGTAAAAGTTGGTAAGAAAATAGGTTTTGAGAGTGTAGTGAAGTAATGAAGGACTTCTTTGAGAAAGTGAAATCATTTTCTATTAGAAATAAAAGCGCACTGGGTTTAAAAATACTAAAAATGTTTGCTTATTATCTAGAATAAAATGAAAGGTTAAGCAGAGGTAGAAAAGTAGAAATAGTATGATAGAAAGCTTCGATTATGAACATGAAACAATGTAAAAACAAATAAACTATGTTTTTCCGAGAAACTTTAACGTTTAAAATTAGAATTTTAATTGCTGACAAGACCAGTGTGACCAAATGAAGTGATAAATATACAAAAGCGATAGCCATATATCGATTAAATTAGGCAAATAGGATAGGAAAAAGAGATATACCAGGGTAAGGGAAGAAAAGAAAGGGATTGAAGAGAGATATGTAATACCGATCAAGAAAAAACGAAATTGAAAACATTTAAATGAATTTATTTGAAATTGACACTTGCCTTGAAAATATCTCTTATGCTTATAATTTATGCTTATAATTTACTTTTAAAACTTGTGTTTTTGGATGCTTAACTCAACAGTCAGGATACAATATCAAGGGATCTCCTAATATGAAACCTTCGTACTTAAAAAATACATTTAGATATAGCATACTTTTACTTTTAATTTATATATTCTTCGTTAGATAAATAAATGATAGATTAGGTAGCTTTCGACTCTCTCCTTGTAAAAAACATTCTCATAATCAATTTTAAAGGGAACACCCGCACTCTTAAGTCATTCAAGCACTTTACAGCACGTTCGCATATTTGAATATATTGCGATTCAAATTCCCCGCACTTGTGCAATAGACATGCAAATAAACAGATATTTACTTTCAATTTTGTCGGCTCTTTGAGCTGCGGCCAATGTATTGGGCTAAGTAGGCGGCGTCGTTTAGGCCATTGCATAAGGCAGGCAGGCTAAATTGTTTTTGATGTTATTTAAAAGCCTTTTACTTGGATGCAACCACCCACATGCCAGCCATGCGCAAATTTCAATCAAATTGTAATCAAAAACATGGCAAAAATTGCTGAAAAAATGCATTTTGATGCGCAACAAAAAATCAAAATCAATCAAAAGACTTAGGCAACAAACTTGATTAGTTCAACACACTCGTGAGCTGATATTGTAGCTATTGTTGGTGTAGTTGTTGTTGTTGTTGTTGTTGTTGTTGATTGAAACGCACTCAAAAATACATCTGGCATGTTACGAGTATTGCCTGCAAATCAAATTGCATGATGCGCAAAAATGTTTTTATGCTTATTTGAAAAGTAAAAGTTTTTTGCAAATTTTTGTACAATGTGTGTGGCGACTTATTGTAATTGTTGTATATTTTTTTTTGCCTGCATCATCTTCTCTCTCTCCCGTGACGCGCTTATGTGTCATATTTTGTATACAATTTTGCTTTTTATGAGTTTGTTTTTGCGCTTCACACTAATTGTTGTTGTGTATGGCCACGTTTGCGTCTCCAACTGAGGCGTAGGCGTCCGTGTTGCTTGTCGCCTGTCAGTTTGAGGCGCCTCGCGAACATTTGAAAGTGTTGCGCAGTTTATTTACGCATGTGAGTTTGGATGCTGAACAGATCGCTTTATTGTCCGCGTGTGCGAAAGTTTTATGTTATTTGTTTTTGATTATTGCCGCGCTTCCGTTTAATGAGGTGCCTAGGATAGGGGCGTGGTTGTGCATATTTGTATTTGCAATCAAAAATATTTTCTGTACATATTTGTAAAGAGCTGAATGAATGATTGATTTCCATAGCAGGTGAAATTGTGTAAGACATCAATTTAATTATGCAATTGACTTAAGTACTTCGAAATTGGTGTTGCTTTAACGTTTAACTGACAAAAATTTGAGTATTATTTCAAGACAATTATTAAATATAGTTACCAAGACATGTAAAAATAAATATATAATGAGCAAAGCCTACTTAATTCATTTAAATTATTTCTATGATTAAATATCCATAGCTTGTGAATTTTAAAGGTATAATATTCTGGAGCTCATTCAAAATATAATGTGTATGCTAAATTATATATATATATTTATTTTATGATAGATTATATATTCATACAAGGGTTTACCTTTTGAAGAAGTTAACACAAAATGAAATTTGTATTGTTAGGATAGATTCTGTGAATATAAAAAATTGGGATTATGCTACGCTTGATAAAGTTCAGCGAATAAAAAAAAGTAAGACATACAACAGATCAAAGTATTCCTATCTTGAGCCTTTGGTAAACCTCAAGCTAGTCGCTATATAAGGGTATTTGCCTTAGTTAACCCCATAGAACTTTCGAAAAGTTCTATGACTCCTACAATGGTTTCTCCTCAAATGAAAAGCTTACACGTAAAGGGGCAACCCCTATAGCTTCCTTATTTAAATATGCCAACTCCTGTCGCTGCTGTGCATTCCCATGCTCGAGTTAGCGCACTGAGTCAGCCCTAGCTGTAACCCCAAATTTGCATGGCCAGTACACACACACATGCATAATTACCATGACATGCAGACGCACAAAAGCCTCAGTCATGAAACGAAAATTTCATTACATTTGCTGGCCTTTTTGGCTTTACTGTGCTGAGTGCCGGGTAACAAGCTTTTCGCCTCAGCCCGCTTCACATATGAGTTCACATTTTTGGCCCGTGACCCAAGCGGGTGCGCAGGTGTCGACATACGACTCCCGCGACACCAAACTGACTGCTGACTCAGAGGCTCACAGTTAAAGGGTAGGGAAGGGGGTAGGTCGGGGCAGGGCGAGGGGTCCCACATTGTGTTTGTTTTCATTTTCGCATAATTACAATGAAAAAAAAGGCACTCGAAATACGCAACGAAAAATGTAACAAAAGCTGTGTGACAGACCGGCGCATGGAAACCCTAAACGACAGAGCGGGTGAGACGGCGAGCGGTGCGGCGGGGGTTGTGTATAGGGTTGCACTGTGAGAGTTTAGTTATTTTTGCTGCGCTGCATTTCCGGCTCGCTCATT